CTTTCCATCTTACTTTTCCTTTGTTTTTAAGTGAAAAAATTGCACCATGGAGGCTTGTTTCAAGCAAATTTAAATGAAAAACATCAGAAATCTTACAAAGATTTAAAAAGTAAATTATTCATCAAACAATTTAAAAGAATAGAAATTTTCAACAGGGCAATGAGCCTTGTTCATATCTTCAATCTTTCTAAATCGTGACTGGAGATAATCCTAGATGTGAAAAGCTATTGTGGCGGTCGGGTCTGACGATACCCGGGCTTGCCCTCGGCCCACCCGACGAGCGGCAGTGGAGTAGGCCAGGGGTGCAGGTCCGTTCTGCGGCAGTCTACCGCCAGGCGGTCGCAGACGACTTCCAGTCACTTTCTCGGTACTGCAGGATCGGGCAATGGCACGGGGAAGGGGCAACCTCGGGGGATGGACCTTCTAAATCAACACACTGACTTGGTCATGTACCATATAAGTAGGACCTGGTTTATTCAGCTCTGGTCGCCTCGACAGGCGAATGCGTTTGCATACCTTGTAAAATAAATCCATATAATTACGAGACGGGTATTGCCTTTATTGGGTCGCCTAATAAGGTTTAAAGATCGGGTGATTGGCTGGAAAAATCTTCAACGTAGAACGGGACTTCTGACGGGTACTGACGCGGACTAACTAATAACTCACAGGAAACTGACTCGTACTGACGGGATTGACTGGTAACTGACTCAGGACTGACGAGAAACTCACCGGGAACTGACTGGAACACTCACTCCGGACTGACGTGGAACACGTACGGGACTGACTTCTGAAACACGGAAGTGACGTGGAACACGCGACCGACTTGAAACACGCAACTGACAAGACTGACTTTCTCGCCACCGCACGCGGTTTTTATAGCTGTGCGGCCCGGGTAATATTAGCATAAATTAAATAAATAGAGGGCGTCCTAACGCCTTACCATAATTTCGCCACACTATAATATTGATCATAATGAACAATTGTGTGTGCTATTGCTACTGATTTTGTATATGGTTTGTTCATCAACAATCTGCCGTTCGATGTGACCGAATATTCGGTCAAATTGAAGGTCGAATCATCGAATAGTAAATTATTCGAATTGACTCAGCCTCAGACAAAGTAAATTATTCGAATTGACTCAGCCCCAGACAAGCGCAACAAACACATCACCGGGCAGTAGGATGCTTTAAAGTCGCTTCGCCCCATGCCCACTTTGCCCTGTCGGTGTTCAAGTGTGTTACAAAACTCTTCAAATGTGGAGAGAGAGGAGTTCCTAAAACGGCATGGAGTTGTTCAAAACTCTATGGCATTCACGGTTGACTGCGTTTAATTGTCCATTGTGAATGATAGTTGGACTTGTGATGGGGTTTATTCACGTCCTCTTTATTTTAAATCGATACAACATTCTGTACAATATTTACATCGTTCTGGTAATTGTCAGTGTCATCCAGTACATCGGCCTCAGGTCATTTATGGGAAGAATGTGAAAGATGTATCTCCCATTTTTTAGGCTGTTTCTGATACGTTTTTGACGTTTTTTTGACTCAAGCCGGCGCTGAATAGATTCGTAATGAACGGTTCAGCAGCTCCATAACTACGGGACGTCTCTAAGTCTGCATCCTCCGAAGCCAACTTTAGAGTAAACGGAAGTGAATTAATCGGTTACCATTAGCGTTTTCCATTGTCTTTCACATCCACTTGAATTGTGGTCCGCTGATGGATATACGTACATGTACATGTAAGAGGTTTATGGGCCCATATTACGTGAAGCTGGAATTTTGATAAGTTGTGCAACTCATACTGGGGTATCCTTGCCGAAATAAGGTTGGATTAATGAATGAAACAAAACTGAATGTTTCACAAGTCTCCTCCTTGTCTTCTATTTCATGCTTTTGTTCAGGACATTTTGGTGTTTGAATTACTTTTTGGGTGATATACCTTTTGAAAACAGAACTGGGTATTTAAAAGAAAAGAACCCAAAACTGCACCGTCTCCGCTACGTCTCTGGCAATTATTATTATTATTATTCCGGTAAAGAGCAACGGCGTTCCATGCTGTTGGTGTCTCCTTTGAAATCACACCATAAAGCTTAAACTAATGTTCATTATTTTGTTTTAGTTAGGTCATGAGATAAACTAGAAAGTGTAAAGTACTCATGTTTAATTGATTGCTTGCGTTTGCTGTGTCGTATCTAGGTCGTCTGTGCCGAGTATTGGAGCCTTGCTAGGTCAGTATGTATTGAATTTTTTAACTCTGAAAATGTAAATATTGGCTGGTAGCAGCTCCTAAAGGTATTGCAGCTGAATATCCTCACAGCTTTCAACAGGTTTTACTGTTCGTTCCTCTCTATTGAAATTATGGAGGGGTTATAATTACACGTATAAATTTACTGAAGAAAGCGAAGACGGTATATATGAAATATCCCCATACGGTCACGGTTGCACCAATCGAAAGTAGGGTAAAACATTGCAGTGTTTTCATAGCTTGCAAGGCTCATTGTTTAATCTCTCTTCGACACCCAAGTCCTATTCGCCAATTAGAACTGGGCACGTCACAGTACTGACATTACAGGTTTCTGGTCAGTCTGCACACCAATGTGACATGCACCAACCTCATACATGCATCAACAAACCCGTCGACCAATCCGGGTGCGAAAAGCGCTCCTGTCGTGTGTGACTGACAGCCTGAGGGGACTTGTCACAGTGCAGGGAAATCAAGAAGCTTGTCACAGGCTCAGCAAATTAATGGCAAATATAAAGGCACCGTCAGCCGCTTACCCTCTTACAACCGCTGCCATCTAAGCATCATCCTCAGACACAAACAAGAGAGAACCGATTCCAAGCAGGTGAGTATAAGACAGCGCCTGTTCTTCAATACTCATGCTCAGGCTTTCATTCACAACACCTTAACATTGCTATATAAGCCTATTCCGCTCACAACTCAGCCCATAAAAGTCATTCTAAAGTAGAAGCTGTGCGGCCATGGCTACAGGCTAGGGACGTAATTCTTTTGCTCCAATTTCAATTATTTATTGTGCAAAGACCGAATTAATTTCTAAAAAAATTAACAAAATGCCTAGCTGCAGTGGAGCACATAACCAATGCTGGACAGGGTTTTCAGTCGCCGTCAGGGCATTATCATCCCAAATTTCTGATTCGTATCACCCATCCTGAGATTTCTCCATAGACTTGTGCACACTACTGAACTACTTTCGCCGATGGTTTCATTTTTAGTCGGTCGCCGTCTTCATTACGGTATCCAGACGTTGACTTTAAGTTACATAGGCGCTGTCGCCTGGTGTCAGTCTATAGGTTATTTTTGTCCGTGGTCACACCACGGACGTATATAAAAAAAACCTGGACTTGCAACGCCTTTGTATGAAAAAGAAGCCAACCAGCGGCCATTTTACCGAGCCGAATACAAATGTGTGGGTTGGATCCCTTCTATTGACGTCAGGAAGAACAAAGGCTGGCATTGCTAGGAAAGCTTTGTATTCGGGTCGGTAAAATGGCCGCGAGTGGATTCAATGACTCTATAAGCTGATAAAGGGCATTGCGATTCCAGATTTTATTATACACGTCCATGGGTCACACTGCCAGGAGCGAACATAACATGGAGTTTTCACCAATTGATTCCTACCTCATGCATGATATGTGGGACTGAGAAATGTATTCCTAAGGTGATCCTGTCTAATTTAAGATTTGTTCTTAGTGAATGCCTTAGATATATTTTTCCTTTACATGTTAACTTACATGCAAGATGGTATTTTGGCCTGACTTCGTGTATGTATTCATATCAATGATGTGGCATGGACCATTATACTCTCTCTTTTAGTTGCAGAACTGCAATCTGCATATTCTGAAAAAGGGTCTTGAGGGGAGTCTCTGTAGTCCACCTGAAGAGCTGTCCCCAGGCATCCCAGCCACCAAGCTATTGTGACTTGCAGACACAGCACAAGTACGACAATTAAGGCATCCGTGGCATTAATCACCAGCATCAATCTTGCAAGATCCTCAAGTATTCCTTTGCATTACATTTCTTCCACCGAACTTTTGCTCTTCATTTTTGTCAAACGGCTACACAACATGATGGACTCCTGTTCTCCCACCTTGGAAAGACGCGTTGCAACTCAACTCAGAATCCAGAACTCTAACGCCATTTGTTTTACCTCAAAGTGTATTCTAACTTTGCCGGCTCCAGCATTTTCTGCAAATCTCCTGTTTTAATTTATGGCCATCTGAATTAGTGTTTTCTGCATTTTTATATTTCTCATATTGATTGAATTTATTCCCTCCAATAAAGTAAAATCTCTGTTGTATGTGAATCCTGAATTGTGAGAGGTCAAAAGTTTTCCAAGGGGGATTAAATTACATGTAATATGAAACTTGGTTCCTGCTATTTTGACATGTGAACCACGGTTACACTCCATACGTGTATAAACAAAATCCACTGCTCCTTGCACAAAGAAAAAAACACATCACAGTTCAACTTGACAAACCCATCCATTCCACGGTAACTCAATCAATCTAGCCTGTGAATAACTACATATTAAACTGTAAACGTGTATGTAAACTGAACTTTTATTGCACCTACAGTATTTAGAGCTACATTGTATTTCAGGGCAAATAAACCTACAGCCTTACATCAGCAATTGTAAAAAACTTGAAAAACAACTGAAGGTATGTTCTTCAATTTTCAAGTTGACTTTTCAAGTTCTTGAGTTGAAGTTGACTTTTTGAGTTCACTTTTTTCTTTTTAACTTTTTGATATTTTCAAGTTGACCTCCCCATTTGACCAGTTAAAGCCCCAAGCAGCAGAATCGTTTCACAACTTTGTCAGTAAAGCCCATGTTGAAACCCAGTTTGGAACAGTAAACATGTACATGTCAATACAGATCTATAAACTGACTACGGTACATTTATATATCGCACTTTCCCAATTAGTAGCCAATACATTATTACATGTAATGCTTTGAAGATAATTTTATTTGCATAAAAAATGCATATTACTAGGCGCTCAAAACGAGATACAGGTACATGTATGATAGACTTTTAAAAGTTATACATATGATCGTTTCCATACAGCAAATTAGAAAATTATACACTTCTGGTGTTGAACCATGCATGCCTATGATTTAAAATACGTGTACCGGTACATGCATGTGAAACGCTTCTCAAATAATTACGAAAATCCTCAGTCTTCATCAGTGCTTTCTTGTAATGAAGAAGAGACAGAAATGGCAAACATATTACAGCTCCTGTTGATAACATGATGTGCAGATCAGTGTGGCATCTTCGTAGGATTACTGAAAACGCATACATGTACTGTGCGCTGCAGTTCGTGTACGCATGGAAGCCCACTACATTCCATGCAAGTGCGCAGTTTCGGTACATGTGTGTGTACATGAATCTTAACGTGACCATTAGTAAATGCTATGCTGTGCTCAAGAAGTACATGTAGTTATTCTGTGGAGTGATGTGTATCATTAATATAATAAAGTAATCTATCCTGCCGTAATTCATGCTTTCAAACTCATGTAAAGCAGGTAAGTTGCTCTCGATATTATCACATGCACACTTTACATTGATCATCCAACATGTATGTAGTTAGGCGTACAGTGTAAGAAAGTGAGAATACACTAAAAATCCTGACATTCTAGGAGCAACACTCACTTGACTCAATATGTATTGATTTATCATGCCCAAGCTACCAGCATGTACATGTAATTTATGTGATATGTGGAGCTATTTGACTTAGAGGAATAATACGTGTACGCTAAATTGGATCTACATGTCATGAACATCTACATAAGTAGTGTACTCATTGTTTTACCAGTGTATTATGGGCACTTTGGTTACATTCATTTTCTATTTTTTCCAATAAAATGATTTTTCTTCAAAGGTAAAGTTGGAAGCCTCTGGTACCATTCATCATGTACCAAAAACGGATTTCATATTCGAGTATCAAGTTGACTTTACAAGTTTTAAGTTGAATCTTGGAGTTCCGAGTTGACTTTTGAAGTTTTGAGTTGATTGCTCGAGATTCCAGCTGACGTTTGAGTTCACCCCAGTTTATCGAGTTGATCCTTTACCACTTAACAATTCAGAGCCCTGACCAGCTGAATCGTGTCACAAGTCAGCGAAGCCTGTTCCTACATGTAGCTTAGAATAATAATTATACCTGAAATATAGTAATAATCGCTGTGTTAGAACATTCTACACCTTTCCACATGTCATCCAGGATTTTTTAGGAGAACAGAAAATATTTCATTAAAATGACGGTTAAATATTTCACTTCTGATTTATTCCGACTGACTCAACCCTAGTCGTAGTAGCCGGGCCATCTACTCCTGCATCTGTCAAAATCAATCAAATTTATTCTATGGCCGATGATGCTCTTTCCCCCAAATATCTACATTTGTGTCAACATCAACAGTCTAACTTTTACAGAAAAAGTGTTGCCATATATTACAGCTCAATCTCAGTATCATTCAATTCATTACACTCCATGAACCCGGAAAAAGGACTCCACTACGGTTATTTTTCTGTCTGGTTTGACTTACTTGCAATTACACACGCACGCGTGCCTCTATCAAGCCCCTTTACAGAAGGAGGTACTGACTGACGAAGACACACATTTGTACATAGGAATGAAACTAGTAAACAGTCTAAAAAACACATGCAAAGGCTCTTCAAACGTGTGTAAAATGAAACTGAGACCCGTGAAGTCAATGCAGGCATACTCAGTTTTGAAGATGTGCGAGGAAACTCTCGAAAAACTTTCTGAAAAATGCAGCTGAATCAGTCGTGGGCAGATAGATATCCCACTCCCCACGTACTCCACAGACAGGATGGAATTCGAACTCGAGTCACAGGGGTGGAAAGCTAGAGAGAGTCCCCGTACTCTTCACCAGTAATGGTGCACAATGATCTTGGGCACTTGGATTTCCTCCCTGAGTTCCTCCTTCTCCTCATACCGGAAGTAAGAGACAAATGCCAGTTTGGTGGCGCTCATCAAAGCCTTGTGAAATCGAACGTCTTCTACTTCAGAATCATCATCATGCATCATGGGTCTCACCTCCCTGACCAACTTGAAGCCACCAGCAGCGCTGAGTGTGCACAAGAACATTCTTGCATCACGGTAATCAGCAGCGATGATTTTGTTGCCGTGGAGGCAGGGCACAGTCAACTTCAAGATGTCTTCAAAGTATTTATCCTCTTTAAAGCTTCTTGTATCACCACAGTAGCTCCCGTCCAAGCCAAACATGCCCAACACTCCATATTTTGACCGAGCTACAATAAATGCATTACCCGGATCAAAGTGATACAACATCCGACCGCTAACTCTGAGGGTATCTTCTTTATCGAAAAGGTGGGCACTGGGACAGTCAAAGGCCTCCATGAGCTGCCCTGATGACAAGTTCCACGTTTTCATGACAGGGTAATTTTTTTTGTTGGTGCCGATGACAATCCCGTCACCAAGATGGCAGGACACCAAACAGTTCAACCCTGTGTTGACTGTACGCAGATGCGATCCACTTTGGGCATCCCACAAGCAAATTATTTTGGATTTGTATGCAGCGGCAACTATCTTGTCACGATAGTCAACATGAATAAGGGGGGAGCGTCCCGAGCCGTAACGGAGGCGGAAACTGGAGGTACGTGTATCTCCAGACCCAAACACTTTGATTTCATTTTTTACTTTATTTGCCTTAGCACTGTTTCGCTGTAGCTGTTCTGCCCCCCTATTACCATCATCAAAATCTTCATTGTCTTCTCTATCACTTTTATTATCCCCACCATCACCTCTGTCATCATCACCATTTTCACCCTCACTTTCCTCTTCACCACTACTATCATCATACACATGACGTTCGTCTTCTGGATGGGCCGTGCTGACGATAATTTCACCATCAAAGAGGACATGAGTCACTTCCTGATAAAACTTTCCCAGCACTCGCAGCTTCTCTCCGGTCTGGGCAGAGAAGGTTCGTATCCGGCCATCCATGCATCCTACGGCTACAATACCATTCCTCACCTTCAACGAATTTGCACTCCAGCTACATGTAGCATTCACCACAACGGTGTGATGACAAATCCCTGTTGCCATGTCCCAGATCTTCAGGGTGTCATTCGAGAGACTTGCAACCAGGCAGTCTCCTTCAGCATCAAAACCACTCACCGTCAAACCATCAATTTTGTTTGGATCCAACAACTCGGACTCAACAGCCTCATAATAATATTCACGACAGCCGGCTGCTCCGAACTCAAAGGAGACAGTGTGGCAACGGTTGTTGATCCAGTTGGTCTCAAGGTGCTGTGCTCTCATGTACACTTCCTTCCATTTGCAGGTCTGGGCCAGCGTAGGCCAGTCGGGACCAGCTACAACCACTTCCGTCGGGAAAGCGACTCTAGTGTTGCCCGCCGGCAGAGCAATTGACTCTTCCTTGCAAAGATCTTCTGTGGTACCAAAGCGCTCCCAACTTCTACGCTGGCAAAGAGAACGCCAAAGGGCATCCTGATTGACCATATCTCTCCAGGATCGATTACAAAGTGCCATGCGGCACAGATCTTGGGCTGAGAGATACTGGAGTATGCCATACTGCAATTCTGTTGGTAATTCCAGTAAGTTGTCATATAGTGAGGGAGACTCCATCATAAGAGGTGCTGTGTTTTAAAAACTGCCAGGGAGAAAAACAGGAAACAGTTATAAATTGTAAACAATGGACAACAAATGTGTTTGTTATGGAGCCCTAAGTTCATATTCATCATCCCTTCATATTCAAAGGCAGAATCAGGGAACAGACTACATGCAGTAACTTTTGTTTTTCCTCCTATGCGAGTAAAGACAAATCTGACGTGAGATTTAGAACTGCAGAGGAAACCCACATCCAATTTGACACTCGTCATCAGGGATATCTAGTACAACCTTAATCCCACTGCTAGTTCGTGTCCCTCAGTGTGGAATGCTTGGGTGTTACTTCACTTTGTCCAGCCTTTCTTTATGAAGGTATATCATGAGTAACCCACACAGAAAGTTAAGCGTACTGTTCCACACTGGATGGTAAGGTCCGAGGTACAAGACGCACACATTTTGTTGTGAACTAGTCCAGCATTTCTGGACCTCTTCCAGCTAAATGTGTCACTGTAAACCCAACGATCACACATAACGTATTTTGCTTTTAACTAGGTGCATGTAAATATTTTACTTCATCTGTGAAGTTATGGTAATGTTCAGCGTATATTCACCTCTGGTTCTGTTTTGGCTATTTTTGGTAAATGTGGCCTTAAACTTTTAATTGGGGTTTGTAAACCTATGAGTAGGATCTGGGCCCTGGGTTTCGAATTTGGCAGGTGGTAACATGTTGTGACTCGCTGTGCCTCTCCCAATTCAGCCGTACATGGATACCTTTGAGGGAATAGGTTATTGTTTTAATTAAACTACCTATATTTGTGCCTGATCTAGTTCTGGCAGCATCAGGCTTGAATACTCAAAAGTATGGAATTCCATATCTGCCGCGCGTCACCCGTCGTGCGTCGCCTTTCTAAAAATCCAACCAATAGGGAAAAAAATTCCCGCAAAAATGTTTAGACAAACTTATCCGCAGTACAATTCACTCTTTCCTCCTAGACCTACATGTATAAAAATGTGCTGACTTGTTTTCACGACATTCAAAAAAGAAATCTGCCAGCTGATACAGACATCCTACATTTTCCTCTCAATTTCACCTTGAAATCTACAAATAGGCCTACTAGAGAGCAAATTGTTTTTGTCAATTGTGCTTTGGAAAAGTAACTGTTTATTGAATGTTAGGGGGCAATTATCACTTGGTTTAATTTTCAGAAAATACGACGTGTTGGTTTTTGTGGGTGTGTATGCCATGGTGGATAGACCAACGAGAACAGGTTGTCCAGCATATTAGCACTATTTATGGGGCTAACAAAATAACATAAATGCAACTCAAGTCATGTGTAATTTTGGAGTATACAGCAGATTTTATCGAAAGGAATACGATTAATGTTGAATGTTGAATTAGTTCGTCCCTTATAAAAGACATTAAGAAATCGAACACTGTAATTTATTGTATACATTCAGATCAAAGTTTCTCTTGTATTTCCCGGGGTATGATCTGTTAGGATCCGTGGAAGGACAGACAGGCATGGAAGATCGATCGAACAAGTATGTGAAAAGATCAAGCGTCAAAGTAAAAAATAGTACTGCGCAAGCGTGACAGAAAAAAATACGACGCACGAAGGGCGATGCACGACGGTGTCGGAATTGCTCAGATGCTGTGAGCATCGTGAAGGGATGATACTGTTAAATGTACTGTGCATTTTGCATGTACAAAAAACAACTGCATTTGCCTTGGATGGGTCTTTTGGTGCAGTTCTCAAAACTTATGATAGTAATAGCTCAAGGCAGCGAGGTACTACGCAGTCACTTATTCAAGATTTGATCATTGGACGCAGTCTACCATGCACTCTCTATAGTGTAGAATCCACGTTTCCCATTTTTCAGGGTTCTTGATGAAAGATACACCCCTGTAGCTCGGTCGACCATCTGCATAATGAGGGTATTTCCACCGTCACGGACGTTACATTCATCGACAATTTCAAACATTTAATTGATAAACAAATCTATTTGCAATTGGAAGAACAGTTTATTTCTTCTTACATTTGTAGAACACATTTTAGTGTTTAACATAATAAAATTATATTTTTATAGCTTTATTAGGTAATTAACCACAAGCGTTGGAAGCGTGCGTTACGGACGTTACACATTATGACATGGCTTTTTTGCATATTGAACATAACGGTAAAACTCTGTGTAGTTAGTTACTTCCGTATTTTTTACCACCTATTCCCAAATAGGTCTGACTTCACTCTCTGTTATCGTAAACAGCAAGTTTGAATTAAACATTTTCTATTGTCAAAGTGGGCTAATTAAGTTGTTACGGACGTGACGTATTGGTGTTACGGACGTTACGTGTATGAAAATGCAAGGGAACAACATCTATTGACAACTTTCTTTTAAACATACATTTGTGTATACATCCAAGTAATTAATATTAAGTGGTGATGCTACAAGGACAGGGAAAGAATATCCTCCAGTTTGAGGTTCTTGTACACCCCTACACCCCTCAGACACACCCCTCAGACACACCCCTCCACCCCTCAGACACACCCCTACACCCCTCAGACNACACACCCCTCACACCCCTCAGACACACCCCTACACCTCTCAGACACACCCCTACACCCCTCAGACACACCCCTACACAACTTGAACTTGAAAAAGGTAAATAATCACTTTCTGCTAAAACAAAATCGGGTACAATTAAACCTGGTGGAATCAGTTTTCCTCACCACCCGTAACAGACGGATAAAAAAGTAGTTTTACAATGTTTTGATTTTTGCTTTTCCAAGGGTGTTAATTCTCTTGTACGCTGGAGAGAAGCCATTCTGTTTATTTTAGCTTTGAGTTCTCGATGTTTTCAAACTCTGTTACCAACATTGGTGCTCTGATCGCTAAGCTCTTGTGGTGTCATTTTTTTTCTGACGTTCTTGCGGTTTCCGTAAGACAACTTTCTTCTTTTCTTCCTCAAGCTTTTCAGGATTATTTTTAAGTCTCTTACAATACTCCCAGGACTCGCTCTTTACTGGTCTTCCCATTCTGAAAATAATAATTGGGACCATTGAATTTTGTTACAATTACTGAAATTTGAAGTTATATTTTTTTCTTAAAAATGATAATCAAATGAATATTACGAAGCATTATACAGTAAAAGAGATTTAATAAGAGGGTAAACCAAACAGAGTTAAAGAATTATGGTTAGCCTAAATTGTTTGTCTGATGCATGAAAAGGAATATTACAATGTAGTTTATTGACTATAGCCACAATAAAATTATATTCTAATCAACTCTAATGATGCAGGATCTACATGTATAATGATTAAATTTTCTTTTTTTTTCTTCTAGAATATGGATTCATATTTAATATTGAGAAATGTATGTACTGGTACATTTATTGGCCTGTGTACACACAGAACATGTTTTCTTAAAACTTTGTATAGGCTAATATAGGCCTACCCACTATGGCTTGAGTGTTTCATGATACACAATTGAATTATTTGCAATTCATCTACAATACTCAAAGATAATGTTTAATGATAAAAATGAGAACAATCACCTGAATATCAGAAGAAAAGATATAAAATTTTACTCTAGAGGGCTGTCCAAATATTGTCAGCTCAACATGTGCTCATCAATATCCATATGTGTTCATCTTGAAGGGTAGTCTACTAATTCAAGCCTCATTGAAAAGAGTGTAAAATCAGCACTGTTCAGGGCCCAATAACATGCATACCAACATCCCTGAGATTTCACAAACACAAATGGAATTATTCAATTGTCTGGTTCCTAATCTTTCAATTTCTTTTCAATTTTTTGTGGGTTTACCAATTACATTTTTAATTATAACCACAAAACAAAATCACCCGGAAAAGTGATTTTTCCGTAGTCTGATTGGAGCCATTTTTCAAGCGGCAACCCTCAACTTTCTCACGCACTTAAGACCGTTTTTGGCATTGTGGTCTCATATGAAAGCTGAAAGACCCAGGGAGTTGATCCTGGCAACGATTTGCACAATCTCACCATTTTGGGGGCCAAACAATCTCCTTTTTCAAAAGATTCTGTGGGGGCACTGTTAATGCTAATGAGCTCGCCTGAAATTCTCACTTGAATTAGTGGTTTGCACCCTGAAAAGTGACCACATGACCTTGTGACCTCAGGGTCATGAGTTATGCTGCAGGCACTCCCAGGGTGTAACAGCATAGGACAAAACATTTGGGATGATATCTTATGTAGGTGGTGACAAATAAAGCTCTATCGTGTCCTAAGTAAAGCTGTAATGTAACGTCCGTTAACGCTCGTTAGCCTATTTCTAATTATCACAATTGAAACATTTTTACTCTCTAAATTAACCCATAGTAAGTTGGCAGTAAATATGTGGTATGATGAAAGTCAGTCAATTATTTTTCATTGTAGTTAAAAAATGCATAAAAATACATGAAGTGTTACATACGTTACACAGTTCAATTGAAAAATGGAACAGGAAGTTATTTATGCATATTTGACTTGGCTGATGAGATAGAATTTTTATTCTTTTTTCATTCATCTGAAGCTTGCTTTCTTATATCCAATATCTCAAATAACAATCTCACGGCAATTTTAAAGAGATAAATGAAGAATTTTTATGGCATCCTTCATTTCCTTGATTATTTTTGGATACATCGCATTTTGGCACACCCACATTCAGACAATATAATTAGTAAAGCGCGCATTCTGAGGTAAAATCTTTTCAGATTCATTACATATAGGTATACCCCTAACCAACCATAGAGGAGAAAAAATACCACCAATTTGGAATTTTGGCATTCATGTCACAGTTGGCGTGGAATTGCCCATGAGCAAGCTTCCACGGATAATGGAGACTGGTAAATGCGAGATCATCCAAAAGGTGTCTTGTGTATCAGTCACAGTAGACATTATTACTATTGATATGAAAAACAGGATTCTCAAGAACAAAGTGTTCAGCAGTTATAATTAAACCTGAGGTGCATTCAGATTTCTTTCAAGCCATTTCTTCAACGCTCGTGTTTTTGTTTTGTGATTCAACTA